TATTATTATTATTATTATTATTATTATTATTATTATTATTATTATTATTATTATTATTATTATTATGTTAGCTTGAACAGTACTTTGGAGGAAAGGCAGGTTACAACAAACAAATTATATTTTTTAAAAAATTCTAAAAGGCAGCAGAACATAAGCATTATAGAAGCAATTGAACTAAAATGCATTAAAATGGCATAAGGTAAATTGTTCAGGTTTACATTGCAGTATGCTCTTCAATCTCCTTTATCCTGCTGTTTCTAGATTTTTTTTGGCAATGAGTCTGTCCAAGAGGGTTTTGCCAAAGATGGCATCGTGGCTACTAGTGCTGGTGTTACCATGACGATTGAAATGCTTGACATTGATAGTTTTGTTTCCTTCAATGGTTTCACCTTCTTCATTATGGTTCCATATGAACTCTTTCAAGGCAACACAGAAGGACAGTGTGGTAAGTAACAAGAATAAATAAAATACTTCAGCACTTTCTCTTCAAGGCACTACCTTCAAAATAAATAAATTAATATGTGAACATGCCCACTATTATAACAATCAATAATAAAATAAAGTTTAGCAGTAAGATGATGTTTAACAGTCAGAATATTTGTCTTTCCAACTCCTTATACTTCCATTTATAAAAGAATTCAGAGTTGCTGCTACCTGCGTCTAGCTAGCTGAATCAATGGTTTGATTCAGTTCAGAAATAAAAATGCCTTCAAGGTGAACTTAGATTTCACTAATTCCATTCATGCAGACTGGTTAAACAGCGTGATGCAAATGGTTTCTCACATGTTTTTCCCGGGGTATTTCTCACATTTCTAGTCTTAACAAATAGCATTGGAGTTCTCCAGGTGGTTTCCTATCCAGTTTCTTATTAAGTCTGACCCAGTTTTGCTTGTGAGACAAGCCACGTGGGCTCGGTGATGACACTTTCTAAGTGACTTGATATATTTACTTATTTATTTATTTGATTTGTTAATTTCTTACAAGATAATAGGGATAAGTATATATATACATAGTTATGAATACATGAAATGGGTACATATAAGAAAAATAAAAGAAACAATAGGACAGGGACGGTAGGCACGTTGGTGCGCTTATGCACGCCCCCTACAGACCTCTTAGGAAAGGGATGAGGTCAATAGCAGACAGTCTAAGGTTAAAGTTTTTGGGGTTTGGGGAAGAAACCACAGAGTCAGGTAGAGTATTCCAGACATTGACCACTCTGTTGCTGAAGTTGTATTTCCTACAATCAAGTTTGGTGCGGTTAACCTTGAGTTTGTATCTATTGTGTGCTCTTGTGTTGTTATGGTTGAAGCTGAAGTATTCATTTACAGGTAAGTCATTGCAATGTATGATTTTTATATACCATACTTAGATCAGACCGAAGACGGAGTAATATAAAGCAGGGGTGTCAAACTCGATTTCATTGAGAGCTACATCAGGGTTGTGTTTGACCTCAGGGGGCACAGGTGGGTGTGGCCAGAGTAGGCATGGCCATCTTGACATCACTCATGTCAGGGGGGCCTGTGGTGGTCCAAACACTCTGCCAGAGAAAACGGGCTCCCAATCTCTGTTTTCGGCTGGGACAGCCTCCTGCAAACCTCTGCCAGCAAAAAGGGAGTTCAGGAGAGCCGCATGAGCTCTGTTTTCACTGGCAAAGGGTTGCAGGAGGCTGTCCCAGCCGAAAACTGGGCCTCTGCCAGAGGCAAATAGACAAATAGACACTAATACTCAGAGCCACATTGCGTGTGTGTGTGCTTGTGTGTTACAGAAATGTGCCCATATTATATCATTATTTCTTATTATTGAAATAGGAAATCCATTCCGCCATCCAAATGTTATTCCAAGTAGGCATGCTGCATACTCGTACAACTTGCATTTTTAACCTACTTATGATTTGCCTCTTTTTATTCCTAGGGAGTTGTTCAAATGACCAGTCAGATGATTGTCGCAAGCCCAATGGACAGAAAGCTGACTCCTGCTCAGAATCAGCTATCTACTGGCAAGTGCCTGATATCAATAAGCCCTACTGTCAGGTGGGGCCAACAACACCTCCTATAGTGAGCACAACTGTGCCAACTACATCAGTGGAGGCTACACCAACACCCTGCAGCTTTCCATCACCTTTGTGCCAGCTGATTATAAGCGAGTAAGTAAAACTCAGTTTTTGCAAACATGTCCTCTTTTGTCTCTAGCACAATAAATAATATGAGAGCTTCCCAGAAAACATTGGAGGCTCATCAAATATAAAGTTACTTTTAATAGCAGTGACAGGACCTGAACATGCATCATATGAAAGATTGTGAGGTGTATGCACAAGCACACATCTATATTCATTTATATGCAGAAACATTTACTAGCATGTGCAGCAGAATTGCTTGAGGGTCAGGTTCCCTGCTTCACTGTAATTTGGCCATAATGAAGACTAACCCTAACCCTAAATATATAGTATTTACCCATGTAGTGACGCTGAATTGCTATTATCCTCATGTTCTCATCTTTCCTACTTCTCATCTTTCCTACTATCTTCTCCTATTGGTATCTTATGATTTATCACTTGTTGTTTGTATTTTATGGTTTATGATTGTATCTATGACCCAAAGGTGCTTTTTCAAGAGGCAACTAGACTTTCTTGTTTCTTTTTGAAGATGTTTCACTTCTCATCCAAGAAGCTTCTTGGATGAGAAGTGGAACATCTTCAAAGAAAAACAAGGAAGTCCAGTTGCCTCTTTAAAAAGCACTTTGGGGACAACCATGACCTGGATGACTGAGAATCTCCATAAACTTTGGATCTATGACTTATCACTTTGTTGTTTGTACATACACTGAGAACTTATGTACTGGAGACAAATTCCTTGTGTGCCCAATCACATTTGGCCAATAAAGAATATTCCAATCTGTCCTATATCAGTCCATCAAATAGATGTCTACAAGCTACTCCTATTCCCCAGTTCTATTCACTCACCAAGACTTTCTCTCCTCTTTCTCTTGCTTCTCAGCAGCCTGTCACTCATCTGGCACAATGATAGGAAAGGGAGCTTCACCAGCATAATAGCATTATAGACCCCAACCTGGGCATTGTCTGATTATTGAGCTAAGAAGCAGCGATTCTAACAGCAGTTCAGATGGGAGGCTATCTCAGTCCACAACCTGTCCTTGGGCCAGGAATGTTCTCCCCAACTATACATATACCTTCTGTAGTAATATTATGATATTTTACAGAATTAAGCATTGCTTTGTATTATTTACCAGATATTCGAACGATCTTCAGATTTCTTATATATCAGATAGAATAGTCATCTAGGAATATGACCTAGCAGTGCAGAATCAGAGTTTTTATATGCTTCGGTATCATGTCTTGCCACAAAGCTTGTTCTTTCAGTTGTACCTTCACCATGCAAAAAAAAAAAAAAAAACCAAGCTTGTTTAATTGATATTATGTTAATTTCATCTCCTGGTTTTATAGTATTTTTGCAGATTGCCATAAAGTTCTGTCTCCAAGAAAATTCTATGACAACTGCCTCATTGAAACATGTCAGATTTTCAATGATTCCTTGAGCTGCCTCTACATTGACATGTATGCCTCTCTTTGTACGGCTAATGGGGCTTGTGCTGACTGGAGGAGCAAAACTGAAGGGAAATGCCGTAAGTAGAGAATGAGGTGCTTCTGCGTCTGTTAAAAGACAAATAGTCAACCATACAAACTGAACAACAAGGTGACACGGGCAAACATTATCTGCATCTTGTATCCCAATCTTTTTTCAATCTTTATTATTGTTTTTGAAGAACTTAAAAGCAGAATGCAAGGTAGCAGGAAATGTGTAAAGTACTGGGAAGAAAAGGAGTGGATTCCCATTCTTGGAAGTTGCATTTAGAACATAAGTTTTAGATAATTCCTTCCTGTATTCCATTATTCAGATCTATCTGCTCCCTAATATCGGTCTTTTTGTTCTTCTAGAACAGGTGTGGAGAACTATGACTCTTTTATGACTTGAGAACTTAACTTCCAGAATTCCTGAGCCAGCCATGCTGGCTTAGGAATTCTGGGAATTGAAGTCCACAAGTCATAAAGAGGCCATAGCTGCCCACCTCTATTCCAGAATATGATTTTTTAAAATATTTCTTTATATCCCATCTTTATTCTTTTTACAAATAACTCAAGGCAGTGAATATATCCAGCACACCTTCCTCCTCCTATTTTCCCCACAACAACAATTTTGTGAAGTGAATTGGGCTAAGAGAAAGTGACTGGCCCAAGGTCACCCAGCCAACTTTTATGGCTAAGGTGGGACTAGAACTCGTGGTCTCCTGCTTTCTAGCCTGGTGACTTAACCATTAATAGTGGTAAGCTTGAAGCAATAGCAAACATACATAGCAACATAGCAAGTTCTGCATATTATACTGTATAATATAAATCAACTTTGCCAGTACCCATGTAGATCAAATTCCACAGGATGTGTTATTTCTATAGCCTTGTTGTCTGAATAGATACATATACAGTACTGTGTTGGTTAACCATCAAAAGAGAAAGTCCACAAGACTTAAGTTTTAATTAGTGGGAAGTTTAAAAAGCAAATACTGGACGAAATTGCTTATTAATACACTAAATTGTTATCACTCTTATTTGTGACCTTTGTTTCACAACAGAAATGTTTTTACAATAATGAAATGAAAAACAGATTCAGAGGGGGTGGGGAATCCTAAAAACTGCAAAATTTCTGAAGATATCCTAAATATAACTCTGTCAAGATCTGTTTTAAATAGCTCAGAAACAAATCCAAAGATGTTGTTTCTGTTACCAACAATGTTATATTTTTCCTTTTGCAATTAAAAATAATTAATTAAGAATTGCAAGTTCATCAGGACATAAATGTTTTTCAAAAGGAAGAAGTTGCCCCTCCATCCCATGAACTTATAAATACTTAATATTCAGTCCTCAAAACTTAACAGAAAGCACTCTTAGTGGAATAACATGGGGATTTGATTGTTTTCTTCAAGGGAAAAATAGAGGAAGAAAGATAAATAAGAAAAAATGACAAGTTAAAAAGGTCTCTTTTCTCCCCTTGATTCTCTAAACAGTTTGAAATCACTTGTAGATGTTTTACTGGTTTTGTTGTTTTACACAATCTTTGGAGAAAGAGGTTGTGTATCTATAGGTGCCATATAGTTCCCCCCACCAAAGGAATCATTACCTTTGCCTGTTTGTAATGCATTTTATTCTCTCATTTACAGCCTATCTTTGCCCAAAAGACAAGGTGTATGCTCCTTGTGCTCCTATTCATCCACGGACCTGTGAAAATGAGTAAGAAAAAAAGAAAGAAAGAAAGAAAGAATTAACGTGTACTAATTCCTTTAACAAGCACATTTTTATTTCTTTCCATAGGAAATGTGACTTGATGGAATATTATGAATCTAGACCCAAGTGTGACATAATGACAACTTATGTATTAATTAGAAAAAAAAGTTATTTAAAACTTATTTGGATTGGATTGAGCAACGGGTAGAAACTAATCAAGGAGAGAAGCAACTAAGGAGAAATTTCCTGACAGTTAGAACTATTAATCAGTGGAATGACTTGCCTCCAGAAATTGTGAATGCTCTTAACACTGGAAGTTTTTAAGAAGAGATTGGATAACCATTTGTCTGAAATGGTGTAGAGTTTCCTGCCAAGGCAGGGGGTTGGACTAGAAGACCTCCAAGGTTCCTTCCAACTCTGTTATTCTATTCTATTCTAAACATTTGTATCTATGTAATGAGGCATGAGCAAATTTAAAGTTTATGTGAACTAACATTGCATTTAATTCATACAATAAGATTACATCTTGCTCTCCTTCTACACTACTGCATAACTGTCACTGTACTATGTAATTATGTTCTGGAATTTTATTTTTAGTTATTTTTTATTATTTATTAATTTATTCAATTTGGATGTCACCCAATTCTAACATAGTCCAGCTTTTTTCATATTGCTGCTTGAGTCTGGAGGGGGGGAGAACCCTGCTTTTTAAAGAGTTGCATGAAATCTAATATTTGGATACCTTAAAGCAGTTGCATCTTTTGTTTAGGCTCACCCGAAATCCTGAAAAATATTGGATTCTTTTAGGGAATTCCAGAAAAGTCCTAAGGTTGTTTAAGCTGCAAACATTATTCATGAGAGGCGTTCTAGTATTCTAGAAAAAGGAAGCCTTTTGATAAGACATCTCCGTGTACTTGAGAAGATGGTTCAGAATCAGTCTGCCTTAACTTTCCCATTTGAGAGAGGAGATTTAAAATGCTAAAAATGGATTTTTGAAGTATCTAATTTTGAATAATTATTAAATGAAGAGTAAGCAACAAGAATGGCCGTTTCTGAGCAGGGGAAAACAAGCCAATCAAAACACATAGGGAATATGCATGGCCTTGAAGAGGTCCAAAGATCCCTGCATCAAAAGATTAGATCCTAGTAATTTTTCAGAAAAAAACATACAGGTACTTTTCAACTTACAACAGTTCATTTAGTGACCGTTCAAAGCAGTAGTGGGATTCTTTTTTTTTTTTTTGCTACTCGTTTTGTGGGCATGGCTTGGGGAAGGATACTGCAAAATCCCCATTCCCTCCCCACTCCTGGGGGAAGGTTACTACAAAATCCCATTCACTCCTCACCCCACTAACCTGCTTTCCAGCTCCGTTCTCCTGTGCAGGGCAACAAAAGAAGACCCAGCAGATCAGCTGGGTCGGGAGGCAGAGAATAGATGGGGGCGGGGCCAGTCAGAGGTGATATTTGCCGGTTCTCTGAACTACTCAAAATTTCCACTACCGGTTCTCCAGAACCTGCTGAATACCACCTCTGGTTCAAAGTTACAGCAGCACTGAAAAAGTGACATGACCATTTTTCACACTTATGACCATTGCAACATCCCCATGGTCACATGATGAAAACTTGGACTCTTGGCAACTGATTCGTATTTATGATGGTTGCAGCGTCCAGGGGTCCTTGTGACCTTCTGACAAGCGAAATCAATGGGGGGAAGCCAGATTCACTTAACAACCATATTATTAACTTAAGAAGTACAGTGATTGTCTTAAAGAACTGTGACAAGGAAGAGTCTGCCCAGAAATGGCATCCTGAACCAATCAAGCATTGCCCTGTTCTGGTTGAACAAATGGTTGCTTTGACTGCTAGAAATGGGGAAGAGTTACATAGAATTAGCCCTGAAAATGCCAATTTTCTTTTATGCTTGAACAACTAAAACATGATTTTTGTGGGATTTCTCTTTTTTTTTTTTTTTGCATATCTTCATGATGTGCTTTTTAAACATTTCAACAAAATGGAAGACACCCTATTAATTTGTCTGGCAGCTATTTTATTACTGAAAAGTGAGCAGGAATATAATATATAATACTAAAAAATATTTCAATTATATACAATTTTCTCCATTTCTTGCAGATTAATGCATGATCAGAACGACCATGTTGCTGAACGATGCGTTTGCCCTGAGGGCTCAATCTTGTTCAGTTCTCACACTGGCCTCTGTGTTCCTGAATGTGGTAAGTTTCTCTTTTCATTATGAATAGCAATGACCCACTGGTTACTGAACATACAACATACTAATAATAGATTGAATCATCTTTATATTTGGCAGATAGGGAGAATAGTCATATGGTTTGAGAGGGAAATGGTGGCCTTTTCAATTTTGCTTTTCCAAGGAAATTAAATACATCAGCTTTTTTGTGGCCATAGTTTTTTCACAACTGGTTTTAATTCAGTAAAAGAGAATATTTATAGCTCAGGGTTGAAATGAGGGGTCCTTGGTGCTCTCTGAGTTTGCTTGCTTTCTTGCAGACATTTCATATCCCAAACTAGCTAACATCATCAATACAATGTTCAGAATCCCAAGCTCATTGTGGTCTTAATGCATCTGGATGCTTCCATGTTGAAGGAGAGTGTACTATATTATCTGAGCAAAGGACATCTGTGTGAATTTTTAACCTTTTTTTAATAGGTTGTGTGGGACCAGATGGATCCCCCAAACCGGTAAGTAGTTCATACAGAATGCTATGTCATCATGAACCCAGGGTACATCACTAGAAAAGGACATCATGTCACTTTTAATTGAAGATGGGAGACCATTTCACTTAGAAACACAAAATGGGATAAACTATAAGTGGAGGTAGTGGCAGTGTGATGACCCAGGGCATGGCACAAAGGCAACACAGTCAGATAATGAGTAGGAGTCCCTTTATTAGCTCCAACTTTGCCCCCAGTGTCCTGGTTACCTTCTGGCTGGAGAAAAACTCCCCTGGGAACAGCCTTTGGCTGCAGAGAATCAAGTCCAAAACATGGTCAACAAAAACTGTAACTATAAGTCCAATCAAGGCAAGATGAGGTAATTAGATCAGCAGGGCAAGATAAGGAATTCCAGACATGAAGGAATGGTGGTAATTCAACATGGTTGGGAGGATGCCAGGAACTCAGATAATCAAAGTCAACACAAGATAAACTCACGTTTATTCCCAGCAGATGCCACAATCAGCTTGCATCTCTTTTAAACTCTCTTCCCAGGTGTGGCTAATGAAAGGAATCAGGGCCCTTTCTTCCCCCGTAAGCCACACAACCCACGTTGCTCTCTTCTCCATTCCTCCCTGGGTATCTTAGGATGAAGAGGGGGGTGGGCCTGGGTCTTCCTCTGAATTCCCTCTCCCTTGTTCTACCTCTTTCCTGCTCTGCCCAGCCAGACTTTGCCCTTCCCCAGTTTCCAACAGAGCCACACTCCCACTCCCTGTCAGCTATTTGTCTTCTTCCTCAGATTCAGACTCCAACAGGGGCATGACAGGCAGAGTCAAAACACATGCCCAAAAGTTGTTCTTAGAAGAGCAAGATTAAACTAAATGAAAATTATAGAGGCTGTCAATTCTAGTCCCATCTTATGGATGTAAAACTGACAGAGTGATTTTAGACTAGTCACTTTCTCTCAGCCCAACTCACCTGGTTGTTGTTGTGGGGAAAATATGAGGAGGAAGGAGTATTGGTATGTTCACCATCTTCATTTGTATATGAAAAAAGCAGGATTTAAAAAAAAGCAGTTAACCTCCAGTGCTAACTAAAATTCTTGACTTCATGTCCGCTAGTATTAAGTTTATATTTATCAGACAGAACTCTTGAAATGATGCGTACCTAATTTATCATATGTTTCCTATGGTTTGTAATTTTAGAAGCCTTCTTGGCCATTAAATAAAATCACCATGAAGAAAATCTCTTCCAAATTTTAAGGAACAATTCAGCAGGTATATCTGACATAATGAAAAATATAAAGCCAAGTAATTGCTCCTTCTTAAGTACACTGATGGTCCAACCGATAAGTTAGAAAATTATAGTTATCATTGTGTCCTCATTAATCTGACTTTTCTTTATGACAGCCGGGTAGCAAATGGAAGAGCAACTGTCAAGAGTGTACATGTGATCCTTTGACTATAAGCATACATTGCAAGCCACAGAGCTGCCCACTAACAACCCATGATTGTGTGGAGGAAGGATACATGCCCGTCTCTGTGCTAAATGCAACAGATCCATGTTGCTCCATAATAACATGCGGTATGCATTATTACTTATCTCTAATACCAAAAGGGTTGTAAAACTCTGTTGTGCTCTCTCTCTCACACACCTATATCCATATACCACATTAATATATTACAGGTTCCACAAACATCACAACTTCTGTTGCCTTCTGGTCATGCCATGATTGCTTGGAACGACAATGACTGGCCCAATGAACCTTCAGACCCAAAAGTCTGAGAAAATGATCTAAAGAGACAATATCAGGGTGTTGCACAGCCAAGGTCTAAAAAGATATAAGAAACAATCAGAGAAAACTTCAATTCACATACACACTGAAAGGGGGGGGAGGGAGAAAAAGAGAGAGGGAGGGAGGGAGGGAGGGAGGGAGGGAGGGAGGAAGAAGGAAGGAAGGAAGGAAGGAAGGAAGGAAGGAAGGAAGGAAGGAAGGAAGGAAGGAAGGAAGGAAGGAAGGAAGGAAGGAAGGAAGGATATGTGGAATGACCTTGAGGGGCAAGGCAGCCAAGGGATGGATTAGTTAAAAGGCAGCTTAGCCTGCAGCAAGAACGTGTACAGGGCAAGAGCCCAGAAGAGACTGTTTTTGAAGGCTATAAAGGGAAGGAAGGAAAAAAGTAAATTCAAACTTGCCAGATTCTGTGATTGTAATTCTTCAATAAAGTAAAATTAGCTCTTCTTATCATGTTTTCTGTCTGGCTGACACATACTGCCCCCTTCTCCAGCACTTTTGAGACTAAACAGGTTTATCTGGTTGTGGTTGTTGAACCTTCCACACAGCCAGCACTCTTTTACTTTGAAAGAAGAGAGGGGAGGCATTGTTATCCCTAGAAAATAAAGGCATTTCATCTTTCTGCTACCACTTATCTTTGTAGTATTGTGATGAACAATGAGCCAAAGCTATTCTGGTTCCTGGAAACAGAAACAAGAGAAGTAATAATTGAGCCTTAAAATGTTAATATTAAATATGTTTCCATTAGAGAAAAAGTAGACTGCCTGTCATTTTTAGACAGGAGAGAGAGAGAGAGAGAGAGAGAGAGAGAGAGAGAGAGAGAGAGGGAGAGGGAGAGAGGGAGGGAGAGAGAGAATATTAACAGGGATAGTAAATGAACACTCAAAAGAGAACTAAATTACCAATCCTCATATTTGATATATAGGAGAGATAGCAATCTTTGGAGGTTCAAACACCCTGTATTCTTCACATGCTAGCACCATGTGCTTCAGATAGATATTTTAGGCAGAAACGAGAAATCTGGAAATGTTCTTTTCCTCACTTCCTATAAGATCAAGGTTATGTGCATCCAATATGCTAGGATCTACTTGTTCTGATATCACATTAGAATTATAGATGAGAGGGCCTTGTTCAGTTCTTTCTTCTTGCTGATCTATTCCACAGTATGCAACACCAGTATGTGCTCCAACGAAAAGAAGATTTGTGAACCCGGATATCATGTAGCCTCAATCTCTTATGATAACTGCTGTGGCAGCATTAAATGTGGTAAGTTCAAACTTGCTGAGATATACTGTAAAATAAATGGACTATATAGTCTAAGGCAGTGATCCCCAACCTTTTTTACGCCGCGGCCCGGTATCCCCAACCTTTTTTATGGCGCGGCCCGGTACCGGCATTAGCTGGGCGCCGCCATCTTTTTTTGATGAAAAAGTGCTTCCGGTGAGCTTTCTACCCGGAAAAGCTCACCGGAAGCACTTTTTCATCAAAAAAAGATGGCGGCACCCAGCAAGCCAGCGGCCCGATAGGACTTGTTCCACGGACCGGTACCGGTCCGTGGACCGGTTGTTGGGGACCCCTGGTCTAAGGGGAAAATAGCCATAACCAGGAGAATTGTAGTTGAGATTAAACAACATGAATGTAGGATGGATGTATTCCTAACTTTGGTTTCTATTTGTATCATAACAAATTTTAATTTTAAAAAATGGGAATTTAGGGTAGCTATAGAAGTCATTATTTAAGCATGATAAGCAGTTTTGTGCTGTAGATCTGAAGTTGTATTGAAATAGCATTCCCTACTTTAATATTTTATCTCATCTAATTATTAATAACAAGTCTGATAAAACTGTCAAATCTCCATTCAAATCTTCATTCTGCAATAAAGACTGACATTTCATATTCACATATTCACTGAATTTAAGGGGTCTAAATCAGAGGAGATTCACCCAGAATTCCATCATGAGGGGTTTAGTCTCATCACTATATCTGTGCCTTATATATCCCAGAAGGCTGTTGGCTGCCATAAGCTTCTTGGAGGAAAGAAATCTAAAAGTCATAAGTAAAATGAAATAAAAGTAACTTTGTATATAAAGTATTCAGCTATCTTCTTAGAATTATTTATAACTGGATAATTAAATAGTATTAAATAGTCAGTATTAAACAGTCAACTGGGGAAGTTCAGACTGCCCCAGGGGCTGTTGATATAGTTCTACAGAGGAATTATTGAGTCTGTCATTTGTCCTTCTATAACTGTCTGTTTGGTACAAAAACTGAATAGGACAGGTAGACTCCAATGGATACTTAGGACTTCAGAAAAAACAATTGCAACTAGCCTGTCTTCCATTAAGGACCTGTATATTGCCCAAGCCAGAAAGAGGGCTGAGAAAATATCTATAGACCCCTCACATCCTGGGCATAAACTATTTCAACTCCTTCCCTCAGGATGCCGCTGTAAGGCATTGCATGCCAAATCAACTAGATATAGGGACAGTTTTTTCCCCTTGTATCATCACTGAACACCTAATCCTCACAGTATTTCTGATGTCTATTTACCCATGTTGTGTGTTATTATTATTATTATTATTATTATTATTATTATTATTATTATTATT